GATGATCTCGACGATGATGTCTTTTTTTCTTTGAACTTGATTTTCGTTTGTCACTTTCTATATCAGCTTGTGCTTCTTCGGATCTAGCTACTCCTCCTTGTGTTGCACCACCATGGATACCTTCAACAAGTTCAGATTGTTGTTGTTGCTCACTAACACTAGTTCCTTGTTGTTTCGAATGAGTGGCCAATGCAGGTGATTGACTTCGACTATGTACTTGTTGTTCTTGTGATTGTTCATGACGTTGTTGTTCATGATCAGAGTATAAACCTTGCTCACCAACAGCACTGGGTGAAAGACTTTGTCGTTTATGATGTTTTTTACCTAATTTATTCAATAAAACAAGTTTTTGATACAAGTAAACAAACACGTACTTTTTGATCCATGTCTGCTACGTCGTTCGTAATATTGAGATGGAGCTGGTGGTGGAAACTGGCTATGTTTTTGACGTCGAGACGATGATGATGGTGGAGGTGGCACATAAGTACCAGTTGGTGGTGGATATTGTCGACCTGATGCTGGTAAAGATTGACCACGTGGTGGTGGAGCTTGTTGAAAATGTGTTGCAACTTGAGGATTAAATCCAGCCAGACCACCAAATTGAGATTGATAAAGTGACGTCGCTAGTTGTTGACCAGGAAATGGAAAACCGATCGAAGCTGGATTATATGCACTTGTTGGAAACATGATATCAGTTGAAAAAAAAACAAACGAAGAAACAAAGTTTTTAAATCTAAAAATTAGTCATACAATATAACCCCCAATTAATAAAACAAAAATAGATTCAATTTAAAATATTTGATGTTACCTGAAAAGATATCATCAAATCAAGAAACATTTTCACAAAATGCACGCAAACACACAATCATACTTTTAGTAATAAAAAAAACAGAATAGTGTGGTTATATTTCTCTTTCTTTCCTTTTTACGTTTACATAACTATCAGACGAACCAGAAGTCACCAATTCAAAACTGTTTGTATTTTGTAATTGAAAAAAATGCTTGTCACTCTAAGAAAAATGTCAATACTTTTTTCGTCTTCTACGGTTATCATTCTATACTGATTGAAAAAAAAGATACATACAAACGTATATATATATCTTTCCTGATTGAAACCTTGAATATTGTCATGAAATAGTGAACATGCGAAGTTGTTTGTCTTCAACACTTGCATGTACTTATCAAGATTTTCACTTACTTGTTCGCGCATACAACTTTCGACTTCTTTTTTTATTTTGTTCATTAAGTGACGGTTATGCAAACTCTAACACTATACTTGTTCTTTGTGCTACTGATTGAAAGATATATAGAGAGAAAAAAATTACTAAATTTAACACGAGAAAAGAGAAGAAGAAGAAGACGTATGATGAACAACAAAAAAAACATATCTTGTTATATATTCTTCATTTTTTTTCGAACGAAACGGAAAATATATTTTATACTCATACTAAATTCAAAAAAGAAGAAATAGATTGACGAACATGTACATCTGTCATTGTACATTTAATTATTCGAAAAAAATAAGCGTATTTTTTTCTCCTCTCTCTCACCCGTACATCTTCACTTCACTATGCATTCGTTATATATACGAAATGAGCAACTGAAGGATACTGGTACACCAACTTTAATATGAGAGATGGTTATCTATCATCACCATCATTTTTTTCTCTTCTTTTAATGTACAAAAAAAGTATAATAATAAAAAAGAAGAAGATGCAAACAAGAATTGACCATTTTACCAATTACAACAGTTTTCTGTTCTTATTTGAATCTTAATTAAAACTTTTATCCAAACAAGAAAAAAGAAGAATATCGAATAAAAAAATCATAACATGTGGATATACGAAGAGAAGATTTCTAGATGAGGGTCACGCTGTATGAATGTCCAATTTGATGAATGGTTGATCGTTATATGTCGTTGTCTACACCTTATTATTTTCTATATATATTCATATTTGAGTCTGTTCTCTTTTTTTCGTCGTCTTCATTTGTTGTGTACCATCGAAATAGCTACGGTTGAATGATCACATAAACTTGCTCGATGAACGTTCGATAGTTGCGGTCAGATCCTAATTCAAGTTGAAAAATTAAAAGGAGGAGACATCACTAACAAAGATAGACAAAGAGCTTTGTCATCGCTTTCTTTTTATATTTGATATTGATAAGTGTAAAAATCTTCATCTTTCAATCATAGAATGAATCTGGTTGCTGTTATTGAATTCTTTAATCATTGATCGAATCGCATTAATATATAAAAACCATAAAACGAGAATATGAACATGTATACAATTTTGAAAGCTGATAAAATGTGTTAAAATGAACACATTATAAATACAAAAACCTAGTACAAAATTGTGATTAGGGTGTTCAAGCCAATAAGTAAAAGTTTTTTTTCTGACAAAAAGGTCAAGACATCAACGATAACTACCAGATGAAAATTTTAATAGTCAATAAATATTGCACGTAAGTATCTGGAGACTATGAAACAAGCAGTTAGACCAACAAAAGTTATGTTTATGTTTTGAAATTTATCGAAATTTTTCTCGACGAGTTGTAGTAATTGTGAGTATCATGACAATTGTCAAGAGACTAACTACTATCCAAAAAAAAAACTTTCGTAGTATTTTCTTTTCATTAAGACATATTACAGTTGAATAGATTAAAATGCTCCACCTCAATGAGACGCAGCTATTTCAATGATAATAAATATAATTGCGATAGTTCCAAAAACAGCTGAAATTAATTATATAAAAACGTTTTATTGCATTGATATTTATCTTTGTCAAATGAAATAAGAATATTTTTGCTTTTACTTCTAATGTTCGACTTTTTTGACATCTCCCCGTTTCATCGACACATTTATTTTTAAACTTTGGCACAAGTAATCTTGTGTTAGAGAGATAGAAATAAACTAAATAGTAATGACACTATCTGATATTTGTAAAACCAATGTTATCATTAATAGAAAGACTAGAAAAATACTCTTGATTAATGAGTATAGGTATTGAGCTTCTCTATTCTTGTATTTACACACCTGAACTGGAAGGTGGATACCATTGATTAAATACAAATATTGTTACCTCCAATCCAAATTTATATGTAGTGGTTATTAAATTTGAAAAAGATTATGCGTTCAACATGACTACGATTAAACAATTTGACAACCATATGAACAAGCCTTCATGAAATAAAGTAATTTACTTTTCAAAATCAACGAATTTTTGATTTAATCAAATGATATGAAAAAAGATTGTTTATGATTAGATGAATATTTTGTTATCATTATGTTATGAACTATTGATTAATGTTCTTATTTCTACTATTAGGATAATTTTCTCTAGAACAAATTCGTATTTATTCTTCTTCATAGAATACTACTAAAAAAAAATGTGTCAATGAAAAGCGAAAAAAATCTGTTGATGAAGTATAAAAATTAATTAAGCACTCTTATTTTTTCAATGAAATGGGACCAGACCTTCTAGGAGGACAATACAAGTATGTAGTACCCATTAATTGGTTTTTTTCTTTTAATTAACCATTTGTCGGTAGTGTTACATACGTTGGTGTATCAGTTTTTTTCTGTAGAATAAATTGTTTTATTTATATTAAATTATTAGATCTTCAAGGCTATAAAAATCATAGATTGCTTCATTTTTCATTTCATGCATGTTCTATTTTGTTCGCCCTGTCGTCTAGGTCGTTTTCAAATGGTCTCTTTTTTTATCTGCTACTGTACAATGACATTATGATTTATTTCTCTTTTCTTAATATGGATGATTTCGAGATTATTGAAAAAGATTCTCAACCTTTATAGATGTTCTATATATATTCGCTCCTTTTCTCATCGATGAAATAAAGTTATTCTCGATTTTTGTATACAACCAGTTAATATATGGGTAGATGTTTATGTCAATACATTAATGAGAGACTGCAATCTTTCAATGCTTCTTTGAAACAGTTTATTGGTTTCTACAAGTTTCCAAATAAAAACACAGGGGAAAATGCTGTAAGAGGTGATAGAGAAAAGAAACTAGACAATAAACATCTTCGATAATCGATTCTAGATGTCAAAATTTTAGTATCTATTTTTAGTAGTGGCTTACATCTTTACTCAAGATAGATTACCATACTGGTATTAAAAAGTTTCGATGCTGAAGCCTCTGTATTTTGGCGTTTATCCAGGTCGAACAGACACGATCGTAAATAGATCTCATGTACAATTAGTGTATACGAAGCGAAACGATCAGAAACGGATTTTGTACACGGGCAGGTAAAAGAATAAACTTTTCTCCTTCGTACAGAGAACTGTACGACTGCCGTACGTCACTGTGCACTATGATATACGGTTGACGCATGTTCAATTTTATTAAACTGTTGTGAAAACGTGTACGTAATTAAACAAGTTGAGAAAGGTAGCTTTACTTGCATTTCAGATCATGTGACGACACTGACGCAATCCAAAGAAAGTATAAACTATTTATTTTATTTTTTCGACCGATTTTGTGTTATAGTTGAGATGAGTGTAATATATGGGAAGAATCATCGTATATTAAAGGTATTGGCATACAGTATGATGGTTCACGGCTGTATACGGTTAAAATAAGACCGTCTGCGACCGTGTACGATGAAAAAATACAACCATTTACGGTCGTGTATGTTCCGCATACAACTTTAGTTTTTCTTCGTATATGGTCATGGAGATATATACGATCGTCATACTAGACCATCTAATATGTTTGTACACGGAACGTATATACTATGTCTACGGACTCAATATTCAACGAACCGGGCATATAATACATCTTTGGTAGACCTTCTTCTAAAAAGAACCCCAAATAAACACCACTATGATCTTTTCTCCATTTTGATAATGAAACACATTTGTCTGATAGAATTGTTGTGAAAGTAGAATTATCATTTTAGATAAAGATTTTTTCGATTAGATAGCATACAAATTACGTTTATTAAATAAAAAAGAAAAAGAAAATAGATATTAATATTTATTGGTCAGTAGTGATCATTGCATGTAATCTAGCTGATTTATAATCTGTACGTAATTGTACAAATGATTCAATTATATCTCGTGTTAATGATGCCTAATAGAAAAAAAAAACAACAATCGAATAAAAAGTTTTTTCTGTGTTTTTAATCAAATTTAAAATACATACAAGATGTCCTTCTGTAATAACTTGACGAAGATTATCAGGAACAACAACAAGCAAATTAACAAGTGCATGCAAAATAGAAAATAATTGTTCAACAGTTGAACTACGAAATTTTTTTGAACATTTTTTATATTCACTTATATCTTGTAACATCATTAAGCCACCTAAATAAAAATAAAATTGAAACTAATAGGTTAGTTTTTCGTTTTTAAAACCTGATATATTATATTCAAATTTAAAAACATGATCTGTTATTAAACGATGGAAACGAAGACCAAATTCATTTAAAATACTTGTTAAATTTTTTCCATCAACTGTTTGATCAAGACGAACAATTTGATTATCAATTGAACGTACTACTCGTTTACATATCTATATGAAATGGCAAACAAATAATATAAATTCTTGAGAAAACAAAACAATAAATAAACTTACAGGTGAACATTCAGATATAAAAAGATCACTTTCTGGTTTAAAATCTGATCGTTTTTGTTCATTAAGAATATTACGAACATAACCAATCATACATAATAGAGCTCTTAAAAAAAGAATACAATAATCTTTATCAAGAAACAAAATTTTTTTTACTTATCAACGCCAATATTAATCAATTCTTCTAATTGACCAAAAACTTTTTCTTTGGTTTGTAAAAGTATTGCTTGTTGTTGAGTACCTCTAAAGAAAGAAAAAATAAAATCAAAGTAAAGCATTCCTTTTTTTCTGAAGTAATGATGAAACTTCATACAAAAGTAATGGAGCAATATCCATAACAAAATAACGTTCAATTAATTGTATGCTATTATTTGTTTGAAGTATAGCATGAAAAAAACGTATATCTGGTTCTTGTTTTGGTTCGGGACCAGGTATAGCTTGTAAACTATATTGTAATTCTGTTTCAATATGTTGAGTACCTAACGCATTAAGTAAACGCAAGAAACATTGAAGAATATTTTCTGAAGCTTCTGGTCCTTCAGATAACTAGAAAAAAGAAAAAGAAAACAAAATGATTATTACGCATAAAAATTTTGACATACAGTTGTTATTCGATTCATTGCTGTTTTACAATCATTTAATAGAGCAGCAGCTAAATCAGGTGAAAAACGAGATTCATCAACTTGATCAGTTGTATTTAATAAACGTTGTTGAATTATATCAGTTATACTATATATACAAATAAAACAATTGACAAAAAAAATATAGTAGAACATCTCTGTTGTGAACATTATCGAGACGCTTCAATAGTGTTCATTTGAGAATGTTGAAGTATGGACTGCTGTGAAAATGAAGAAAAGGTTCCAGAAAATCTGATTCTATATTAGTAATAGATAAATACCTGATGTTTTATTCTTTTGATCATCTATGTTCATCTTGTTGTTTTACTTTTAAACTAATTTCTTATTTCTGCCTTGCTGTACAAGCCATTCGTACACTTGTTCGTCTAGCTTTTATACATTGAGACAATTCTAATTTTCGTCTAACAATTTAATTCTGATTTGTTTCATAAATATTTAACTATTTTGTTTTATGTTTTAAAATAGTTGACACAAAGCTGAGTGATCTATTATATTTTTTAGTCAAGTTTTGTTGCTGCAAAGCTCGTGTCATAATGTTATTCTTTCCTTTACAAGTACAGCAGTCGAATCATACACAACATGTAGATGCTTTTAGTACATACGGAACAGATCACTGTTTATGTCACGGTTAGTTAAAGAATAGGAAAACCTCGTAAAAAATGATTCATATTAACTATGATCTTGATTTGATAAACTTTTATTGTGTAAGTTTTATTCATTGCATATATTAAACTTCAACATTCGTTTCAATTGTATTTGAAATGGAAACTCAATTGAGTCTAATAATGATCAACCGAGAATATCGCTACCAGGCTTTCCGATTGGGGGGAGGGGAGCTATTCCCCCAAAATTGTCTGTCTGTCTGCGAAAATTTTTAATACTGTCTACCAATTTTTCACAGTTGCTGGCACAAATGACTGATTGTATGGGAGCCCGAGGCGGGAGGGGGTACGGTAAGACCTAGTGAAAACTGGCGTCGTTTCTCCCTCCCCCGGCCAACAGTTTTCACGTCAGAAAAATTAGAACATTGTCTGCCAAGATTTTAGTCCCCCCCCCTTTTCCCCCCCCCCCCCCCCCCCCCCCCCCATTCCTAAAAACAATCGACATCTTACGAGGGAATCATCTGAACTAGTAAACGCCGTTTGAACTGGTATCGGATCTATCGAAATGTTTTGGTGAGGCTAGCAAAAACCTAAAAGAGTTGATCAGCATCATCTCTTGCAGCAAAGTTACAATCGTTTGACTGAATTTTTGACTCAGTTTTAGGTATAAACTGAAAAACCAATAAACTAGTATGTCCGTATAGAATTTCGTCTGTGGATAAGACTAATGACCAACAGAATATTTGTAAAGTTTCAGCTGAAAAGAATAGTCTTTTGTCAAGATATTGGATTTCCAAAAACTAGCGTTTTGCCATAAGCATGTTACACAAATTGAATTTACTAGGAAATTCGATAGCTCAACTAAGAAATAGTCTTTTCGGTTGAAATTTTCATGATATTTTATTAGTCATTCAATTTATCTATGAATGAAACCTCACATCAAAATTTGGTTTTTCTATCTCTACTTGGTTACATAAAGAATGTATTTTTACCTTAATCCAGTTGGTTTAATTCTTCGTTGACCACCGGTTGATTCAACTCTTTCAAGATGAACTTGAAATTTTTCTTCCAAACAGTTAATTTCATATCTAATATATATTGAAAAATTAAATTTCATATAGAAAATTATTATTTAACGTACTTGCTATAAGTTTTGAGATAACTTTTAAAAACATGTTGATTAAGTTTATGTAAAAAAGCAGGATCATCGCTAATTTTTTGTGTTTGTAAATCATTTGATAATTTTGTTGCTCTTTATTTCATTTAAGAAAATGATTCAATAAATTTCATATTTTATTTGACTTACTTTTTACTCAAAGTATATAAAGTTTGAAGATATTTTTCCATATTATCTAAATCTGGATTACGCACATATGCATCGAGTTGATCACGAACATAAGGCTAAGAACAGACGAAAGAAATAGATATGATTATTTTCAATATATATTATAGGAGAAAATAGAATCTTACAGCTAATTTTTCTGTATACACTGTAATAATTAGCCGCTCTATTACTTTTTCAGGTTGATCAAATAATTCATTTATTAATTCAGAAACTTTAGTAAATAATTGTGGAATGGAATAGAATATATCAATATTTGGATTATCAAAATAACCCTAGAACAGAAAAAGAAAAATATCCACATTTTCATTAAAATAGAAGATTTTGTCAAATTCTAAAAATTTAATCAAAATATAATTTAACAAAATGTTCGTTCATTTTTCAGCTTGTTAAAAACGAGACTGCAAAGATTTGAAAGCATTAGGTTAGTATTAGAATTTTATGTTCTTATTGAATACGATCTCAAAACTTTTGTCGGACTTAAGTGTTAAGAGTTATGAACTGATTTTTGCAAGGTCCGTAAATTGAGTTTCGATGAGCTTCAGCGTGCTAAAACTTATCCAAAGTAGTAACAACAATGATTTCAAATAGAACGAATGACAGAGAAAATATTTCTCTATAGAGTAATATAGTAATGATTAGCTTATTCGAAGTCATTTGTTCATAGCAAGTATTTTTGTAAGACATACGATGTCAATTTAGGCAATTTTCTCAATTTTCATAAAAATTAAGATTTGCAAAGTGAAGTGAGTCATTCTTGAATCAACGACGTCGTATTAAAATTAGTATTAGCATTTATTAATACTAATGCTAATACTTTAGGTATTAGTATTAAAACTAATCTTAATGCTTTGCTATGATTTGCATTCGAATTAATAAATGTCAAGCTGATAACATTAAATTAGCATTATTTCCATTCTATTACATAGATTACCGACGATTGTGAATACGCTAGATTCAGAACTTTGCAAAGTCAATCAGTTTTGTCCCATGTTGGAAATGACATTTCGAGGATATATTAAATTCCTATTTAGCCAGAAAATTCAAATTTCTGTGCCTCATTATCCAACGAATGATACAAGCTAAAAAGTATTGCTGCAAGGATCTGGATTAAATGTCTAAGATATATAGCTGAAATTGGGTTTTATACATCTAATTAATATATCCCTGAGAGTTTGGTGGACTTTGAAAGACTGTGAAAATGGAATATGTACGAGCAATGACCAGTGCTACACCCACATTAAATACTCTCACCCACAACCTTATATCAATTTTATTCTTTTTATTTTTCATTTGCATAATTGTAAACTAGTTAGTCTTTTTATTTTAAATATACTTTAGAAGTCGGAGACAAACTAAAACGACTGCCTTATAACACCAATCATAAATGCTAATATTCATGTTACTCAATGAAGCATTTGAGAATAGTTAATAGTAACGAGATGAGTTTCGAAACTAAGCTCAACCTCAAAGATATACACTTGATTTCTAGACACTATGCATAATAACGTCCATTTCATAAGCTTATTTTTCACAGCAATACCATGCAGGTATAACATAGGTATTAGAATTACAAATAATCCGGATTTAAAGTAAACTGCTTGACGTTGATTAATTCTAATGTAAATCATATCAAAGCATTAAGGTTAATTTTAATACTAATGCTAATCTGACACTTCTATTCCTGAATGATTGTTTTTAAAAATCTTGAGTTGTATGTTACTTGGTGAAGAGCAATCTCATCTTGAGTTTTATGAAAAAAAAAGAATCGGTAATTTCATGCTTTTAAAGGGTCGATTCATTACTCCTATATCAGAAGCTCCTACAGTAATATTGAACCTATATTCGAAAATAATAGAAAAATAAACGTTTTCAAAGTTCTGCAGGCTGAAATTATGAACAAACATTTTGTCTAATTATTTTAGATAACTCTTTAGTATTTATAATGATAGTTGGATGCAGATCCAATAATAAGAACAAATCTTGTTTATCTTCTTTTAAATAAAATGAACCGGATTAAAAAAATAGTCTACTAAATAATATATAACGAACACTCCTCTCAATTCAGATGTTATTCTTCTTATTATGTATTAACATACTTTTAAACAATCAGTAATAAAATTTTGAATACAATCATTATGACCCTAAATAAAACAAGAAAATAATTTTTAAAAGCTTTTTTAGCTATATAAGTTACTTTAAATTTTGATAATAATTTAATATATTTTTTCATAGCTTTTTTATCATTTCGAACTTGTGCACGAGAAAATTCTAATAATAATTCGTCTTCAATAGCTAAATAACGTTCTTTAACTTTTGTTTTTGCCTCAATAAATCTTTTGTAAGAAAAAAAAGAATTTTTAATTTTTATTCCTAAAGTTTTTACTTCGGTTCATCAGGTAATTCTTGTAAAACATTGTATAATTGATGAATAATATGTGCTGCTTGTTCAAGTTTTGATGCATCTTGAAACATTAAACTAACATCATCATTTGCATCGAGAAAACGTTCAAGATATTTTGCTGTTGTTCTTGCATCAATTAATTGTTGACGTGGATTACTTTTACTTTCAAGTTGATGACCTATTTGAATAACTTTTGTTGATATAACACTTATACGCATTTCAAGTTCTTGTTGACCAGTATATGTCGACTTTAAATATACAAAAACAAAATTTAATTTCTATCTTTTGTTTTAATTTTTTTCCCTCCATAGCAGTTCTAAAACAGCTACTCATAAAAATTGATTTTTTAGATAGAATATTAGCCTTTGGATTCTGCTATTGATGTGATCAGATCCCTAAGATGTTCTACTCTTCGCATAGAATGGTTTTAGCTACTCGAGTGGCTTTGCTGTAGTAGAAAATGGAAGATTGAACGGCATGAGAAGCTCTGATGTTTTATACTTTGTCTGTATAGTAGAGATAACACGGTTCAATTGCGTGTCTTATTATCTGTGATTTGATTAGCTATCATAAAACTTTAGAAATCTATATTAATCAACAGTAGGTTTTCTCCATCAATCTAGATTGCAGAACAAGCCTTCAAACTTTCTACTGGCTAAACATAGAGAATATTTTGGGTTGAATTATTTCGAAATTATCGGTTTGTAAAGTTTAATATTTCGTAGACAGAGTGATAGAATGAAGAGTTGTTAATATTACTAATCAATAACTCATGAAATTTACTCATGTTGAATCTTTAGAATTTCTTACATTATTTAGTTGTTTTTAAGCAATCTACAAATAATCATCTCAGTTATCAGTGTGAGAAAAGTAAAGAGTTAAAAAAACCTACTTGATATAACTCTTCGAGTTGTGCAACACTATTTGCCCACGTATTTCGTTCTTTTTCACATGCTTCTTCAAGATGTTTTATATTTTGTTCAGTTTGAACTTGATAGTCCTATATTAAACCAATAATGATTCAATGAAAAAAAAAACAATAGGTTAGATTACTTACTTGTAAAATTGACATAGCTTGACGAAATTTACTTTCTAATAAATTAGGATCAAAATTTTCATTAACAACATTTCCATCAGTTGATTTATAAGCGATATTTTCAATTAAATTATCCACATCAAAAACTGTCTAATATATCATTTATTTTAAAAAAGAACAAGATAATCTATATATATATATGTATCGAAATATAATTGATTTCTCTTACTGAATCTAAGCTGGCTAAAACTAATTCTTCCATTGTAAAAAAAAACTTTCTAGAAAAAAAAAACAAAGGATTCAAAACATGTTTTGCCTAGTGAAAAGCACGGTTTGTTTTTTTGTTTTCATTTTAATAATAATAATATAAATATCACGGTACATGTCATTCTACTTGATTAATTTCAATACGAACAAGTCCGGATAGATATGCATAGGCACACATGGTTAATATACCAACAGCAATTACTGCTACTTTATCTCGAAGACGATCTTCATTTGGTCTTGTCGGTATTGTAGTTGATACAGAATCAGCTGTAGCACTTTCTTTTGCTAAAAAGAAGAATTTTTATGAATTCGAATAAAATACAATTTTTTTTTTGAGAGAACAACGCACCTAGATCACCAAGATATACTGTTAATATTCGATCAACAAAATCACGTAGATTTTTTCTACTTGAAGCATAACGTGCAAGTGCACTATTCGAGGCAGGACCATGAATTAATGGAGCCAAATAACCGAAAACAAACGCATCAACACTTGTTGGACTAAAATCAATACAATATAATGATAGATGATTAACAAACTTGCAATTATGACCATATTTAATCGTTCGACGGCGGACTCACGAGCCTTGAGTAGGCTTGCCTTAATGTAAAAACTTTCCATTACTATTTGGTTTTCATTTTCTTCTGATAGATGATACGTTGTTACAAGGTCATCGCACATACTATGTACTATCAACTAATGTTCTATAAGTTTATGTGACGGAGCGACCAGGGTGGAACAGGCTAAAGTTTACTGTAGATTCATGCTTTGAAAACTAAAATACTTTTCTGCTTATTTCAGATTGATAGATTTGAGCAACACATTACATTTTTTTGTACCAACGCTAATATTTTTCACCGCCTCTGGCGGCTAATAATGACATTTTCTTAATCAAGCAGATTTAGACAATGTTTTTGAGCAAACATTGAGTTCTGCACAAGCAAATATTGGATCCATACATCGCCAATGAATTGAAATGGGAATCTTTCATTATAAGCGGAGAAGAACTGTACAAAAACTCTGAATTAGGTTAATCCGATTCTGCCAAATATTTTCTTCGTCCTCAGCGAATAAGATTACACTACTGTAAGGCATCTAAGTAGCATTCAAAAACTTATCTTCTCCCATTTTTAACTTTCAGATAAGAATCTTATAAATGTGTCTTAAAAGTGTACAATAATCAACTTAAACCACGATTAGTGTTTTCTCTTGTGCATAACTACTAAAGACTTTATATCAAAAATATGATATAGAATATGGATTTGTTTTATATTCTGAGAATAAGTCTACTGTAGAACAATCCGAAATACTTTGGCATAAATATTTACCTAGCACCAAATAGAAATGGTTTAGTTCCGAGTACAACAGTTAAATGATCTAAAACTTTTTTGCCTTTTTCAAATATCTAAAATAAAAAGAACCAGTATAAATTATTAAAAATATTAATTTCACATACCGATTTTCGAGTTTGATCAAAATTATTATCACCATAAATAATATTAAATTGTTTTTTAATTTTTTCTGTTTTTTGTTTACCATAAAAGAAAGCAAGTGGAAACCCACCAAGTGATCGAGCATAAATATTTATAATCGAACTTCGATATGTATCATCAAGCCAAAATGTATCAAGCTATAAATAAAAAAAAAAAAATTTTTTTCAAACAAAAAATAAATTCATTGATCATACGACAGCTGGTACAAATGCTGATTTTACAAGCGCATTTAATGCAAGTAAATCAGCAATATTAGCATGAAATTGTTCATCAATATCGATATGCTAAATGAAAAAAACACAATTCTATTTATGAAATATATTCTTCGGCAATATTTACCGATCTTTTACAAAGCTCAACAATAGCTTCATAACCTGCTGCTAGATGTATATTATCATTATCACTAAGTAGAAGAGGTAAACGTTCTTTTTTTTGTATAATTATTTAAAAAAAAAGAATAAAATCAATATCATTATGTTGATTAATTTAAAAAAAAAGACTACCTTTATAAAACATTAATCGACCAAGATTTGTTTTAATAGGAACATTCAATCGGGAGAAAGCGAAATGTGCCTTATAGAAAAATGAATAAAATCAAAAAATAAAATTCTCTATTCTTACAAGAACACTAAGACATTCAGGATCAAAAGAAGGTAATGCACCATAAGCTGGCCAAATACATAAAGATGTAAATGCTAGTTTCTAGATAATAAAATCAATCAATCAAGAAAATCAGTATATGTAAAACTATACTGGTTCAGTTGTAGACGAGGACGACATTGAATGCAAAACAATCAATGATAAGAAAAAGAGTACACAATAATCCACCCAAAATCATTTTTTGACATTATTATACCAATTGGTGGACGTAGTTAAGAAATCAGAAGCAAGACTATGTATTGATTAGTGACCTCTGTAGATAGTCGTTTCTTTTTTCTTGTTTTAATGAATTATAAATAAAAAGAAGCTTTGTACAATCAGAACAAAAATCAAGTTTGACATAGATGAGTTTCATAGAAATTATAATACATTTAAAAATCTTTAAAATCATATTTCATTATTTCTAGGTACAATGAATTCTATGTATATAGTTAATCTACTGATTGTAAAGCCATGGTCGTTTTTCATCAGATATGCTTAACATTTCGATTGCGTTTATTCTAGTAAAAAGTGTTCTATAGATAACCATGAACATGAAAAAATAAGGAATAAATATCTACAGTAATTCATTTTTTATCATTAAGATAACTGTTTCGTTTTTTTTCGATACTGTTGCTTTGTCAATACTTGACCGAAAAAAAGAAATGTGTCTCCTTGTTCTGTGAAAGTATGTTGAAGGTTTTTTTATCTAAGGTGTTCACGTTTTCTTACTCTCTATCATATACTAAATTCAATATGAATCATAGGTAAGTTGGTTTATTGAGATCTAGAAAGTTATTTTGATTCACTATTTTTGGATATTTTCTAGATAGAACAGTCTGTATCGAATTAGTTGTTAAGACTACGCTGTATTATCAAAGATCGACAACTTATACGAGAACCTTGGACAGAAAAATAAGTAATCATGTTAATATCACGCCATTACCGATGATTTGTTGTTTCTTTTTCTCTCTTATCATTATCGATGTTTGTTTTGCGAAGGAATTTAATCTATTAGTAAAAAAAATCTTCACAATATCTAGTAGTCGCATGAAAGTCCAAGACTAAGAGATGTTTCGGTAAAATTTTTATTTAGAGATATTTGTAGACTTTAACAATACTAAAACAGAACTGATGAACGAATCACTTGGAAAAAACCACAGTAGATCAGTTTTCTCTCTTATTTTCTATGCGAAAGAAAAATTAGTATAATAATATTCAATTAAGGGAACTAGAAAAACTGTGAAGAAATAAAGTTAAGTATATCATTTTCTTTCCATCATACTATGTCATAGTTTTAATATGCAAAGCATTGTTACTATGATCTAGTCATTGTAGATATAATATGTTATTCTTTTTTTAAAACCTTTCAGCATCTTATTAAAGTGAAAATTGATTAGAAGTCTTAGGTTCAATACTTAATTGAGATCAAAAATGAAAATCTTTTTTGGAATTTACTTTATCTTTTTACATTTGATAAATATTTTGAACTCAACAACACCTAATATTTTAATATTTCTTGTCGATGATTTGGGATATGGCGATTTAGGATGTTATGGAAATTCAACAATTAACTCTCCTCATATTGATTCATTGGCACGTGATGGTGCAAGATACAAACAAATGTATTCACCAGCTTCGATATGTACACCATCTCGTGCTGGATTTCTTACTGGAAGATATCCTGTACGTTTAGGATTAACATCAAATTCTAATGAATTTCGTACATTCAATTCTCCAGCTCAATCAGGTGGTTTACCACATGATGAGACGACAATGGCTGAAGTTGCTCAGCAACTAGGTTATCGAACTGGTGTAGTTGGAAAATGGCATTTAGGTTTGGGACGTGATGGTGAACATTTACCTACTCGTCATGGTTTTCATACGTTCTTTGGTATGCCTGTAACCAATGTACAGACATGTGGAAATAAGAAAGTATATAATTTAATTGGCGGACATGGTGAAATTCTTGATCGTTCATTTCTTTCATATTGGATTACTTTGGAAAGCAAGGTAAACAATGATTTAGATTATTCTTTTAAGTTATTCTTCGAATGTAATTATATAGAGTTTTCAATGATAAATATTAATAATTCTAGTTTTGATTATTATTGTCTTTAATATTTATTCTAAATATTTTTATTTTGTTAAGATTTGGTTAACAATAATCTGTATTGTATTTGTGACATGGTTGTTTCGTTTTCACAAGTTGGCTCTCATCATATTAGTTTTAGGTACCACTGTTTTCTTTGGTGGTATGTGGTATACACTTTGTTTTACTCTTCTTAGTCGTTCATCATGTTTATTATATCGAAATGAAACAATCATCGAACAACCAGTTCATTTACAAGATCTGACTCTACGTAATACAAATGAAGCAGTTAAATTTATGAAAGAAACTATTCAAATTCATAAGAAACCATTTTTTCTCTATATGGCATACGTTAAAGTACATACTGCTTTATTTACTCTTCCAGAAAATGTTGGACGTAGTCGTCATGGTGCATATGGTGATAACATTGAAGAACTTGATTGGAGTGTTGGACAAATTATTCAAGCATTGAAAACTCTTGATATTGAAAATGATACTTTAATTTTATTTTCTTCTGACAATGGACCTTTTCTTGAACGAGGAATTGAAGCTGGATTTTGTGGTCGTGCTCTAACATCTTCTGGTAAACTTAGTGAACCATTACGAGGTGCAAAAGGACAAACATGGGAGTGTGGTATTCGTGTTCCTGGTATTATTCGTTGGTCAGGACATGTAGTTGCAGGTCAAACAATTGAAAGTATATCTTCGTTATTAGATTTTTATCCATCACTTTTGGAATTATGGAATATTCAATCAATGCAAGATCGTCCTCTCGATGGTGTTAGTTTATGGGCAAAATTAAAATTGAATTCTGAAATGTTCACTTCTTCATTAACAACTAACATACAAAATGAACGAGATACATTGTTTCATTATTGTGGTTCAACAGTAACAGCTGTACGTCAAGGCAAATATAAGGCACATTATTGGACTCCAAAATGGGATGAAGGTCTAAGTGCGTGTCCTAGTGTTACCATTTGTCCTTGTTTTGGTAATCAACACTCACCACCATTGCTGTATGATATTGAAGCTGATCCTGCTGAAAAATCACCGTTGGACGTTCAAAATTATACAGATGTTTTGCTTATGATGAATGCAGCAGTTCAAAAACATAAAGCAACACTTATTCCAGTGCCAAACCAACTAGAAAAACTTGCATTACCTTGGCTATTTCCTTGTTGTAATGCACAAGGATGGACACGTATAGTTCGTTTGATAACAAATTCTTGTCAATGCTAATTATTAGTTAACGTTTTTTTTTAACAATGAAAAATTATTTTTAGCAAAAGAGCAATAAAATGTAACAATAATGGGTTATAACCAATGAAGTCACAAGTCAGAGAATATTCAAAAAACAGAAGAGTATAGAAGAGTCAAAGCATCTACTTAATGAAGGTGGTAGTGGCATTTATTGTTTATCTCTTAAAAAGTTCAGTTTCACCATCGTAATATGAATGAACGAGATAATCTAAACAGACAAGCTATAATAACATAGAAATGGAAGATAGTTTGCATCAGAGTTGTAATGACTTCGATCCGATAGGTTACTAGTCGGTTCGTTAGATTATTTTTAATCAGTTGAAAGAAATGACTTGAAAAAAAAAGCATTTTTTTTCTTTTTTTCCTCAGATTTTTACAGACATCATAGAGAAAAATGCTATCTTACAGGCATTTGTACCTGTAAAATACGTGATGTTTCTCTGACATGGAAACAAAAGAATTAATTATCTAACACCTGATTGTTAGAAAAAACATAATGCTTTTTTTTTGAAACAAGTGTCTAAACTTGAACTACAATCTCTAGTGAAGTCACTAATGAAAAAAGTTGAAAACGTTAGCTCAATGAATACAGTTGTAAAATATAGTTCGCTTCAACAAATAAAAAAGTGGAAATGAACGGAAGAAAATAAGTGATAGTTTTTAAAACGATACTTTACTTATTTTGATAAGAGCACTTGAACTTGCTCACGATATATATCATATCAGAGGAAAATGGCATTTTTAAACAATTCATTTCCATCGAATTGACTTCGGTCGATCATTTTCCAACTTTGATTTGACTATGACCCACTTTAAATATATCGTACTTTTAAACAGAATTTGACTATCTATTATTTATTTTTCACTTGATATTACCAGCAGAAAGATTGTCTACTCATTAAACGCAATATGAAAGCACTTATCAAGCATTTTATAAGAATTTTTCTTAAAAATTAAAATATAAAACATTAAAAGTAGGGCTGAAGTAGCATTATCTTATATTTTCTTACATTGTTTACTCTGAAGAGCTTAATTATCATAGCCTACCATAAATTGACCTTGACTAGTTCGTCCATTGTCAGTCTTCATTCTGACAATCCAAATAAAAAAAAATAACTCGTATCAGCATAATACATTCGACATCCATTTGAAAATTAATAAATCTTTGCTTGAAACCATTTTCTCTCTTCTTTTCATCCAGAGTAAACAAGTGCATTTGTGTTCTGAGAATATATTTATATATGTGATCATGTCTCATAAAACATTTCTTTTTTTCTTCCCCTTGAGATACACTAAATCGTAGTATTTAACTGTCACGCATTTATCTTCAGTTCTTCCGTTTTTACTGAAAACATTCTCATCAAAACAAACGGAAGCTATTAATGTTGAACAAGTTATATTTGTCTAACAGCTAGACTAATATTGATATGCATTAAAAAATTTTCTGTCTCTTACTTTCTTAAAAGAGAGCAAATAAATGCAAGTATATGAAGAAAATCATAGGACACGAAAGGATTTTTTTCTATCGAGTACGTAAACAAAAAAGAATCCATGAGTTGAATGGTCAGCATCATTTAAAAAATTTCTTTTCTTTTTTCGCTTAACCCTATATTGTATTGATGGACTACTGAAGGTAATTTTAAAATGAAACCATTCTACAATTGAATGAGTTATTCGTGTAACGGTATCAATCATTTGAATTATCTATGATTTTCTTTTCTATATTTTTTCTCATGTTTTGAATCTACAAGAAAAATAAATCATCGAATATTCAACTTATTGTGATTGT